TTAGATTTTTATCTCTAGGCTTCCACCTTCTCCCAAGGCTTCATACTAAACATTTAGGTCTTATATATATATATATATATATATATATATATATGTATTTTTAATGCCAAAATCAAAACAAATAAAGAAACAAAGTAAAGTTTTTTATACTAATTTCTTTGAATTTAATCTACTAGCGATTCTAATAGAAATCTAGATTTATTAATATATAATATATTTTAACTAATTTTTACATACTGTAAGCATTTACAGTTCGACATCGCGCCAATGAACAAGATATTCCAATTTATTTTGGTACTGCCTTGAATCTAAGACTTCTTCCACTTCAAACTTTTCATTATTGTCCACTTCTACAAGAAGAGGTGGAGCTTGTCTTCTTCTTGGTATGTCTACTATCTTGTATGGTTCAAGAAGAGAGACATGGAATACTGGATGGATTTCCATTGACTCTGGTAGGTGTAAATGATATGCAACTGGATTGATTTGTGTAGAAATAGAAAATGGTCCAAGCCTTCGATAGTCCAGCTTGTCACAAGGATGAGTGGTCTTGATATTGCGACGAAGTAACCATACCTTATCACCTATGTAGAATGGTGGTTGTTCCTTTCGATAGATATCCGCATTGACCTTTTGTTGTTCTTCAGCTTCTTTTAATTGCACCTTCATCATTGCATGTAGCTCTGACAAATGTATTTCCAAATCTTTTGTAGCACAATTATCAACTTTTGAAAATTCAAAAGTATCAAGTTGTGGATGATAACCATAATTAGTAAAGAAAGGTCTTTGTTTTGTAGAAGAATGTACCGTGTTATTGTAAGCAAACTCTATCAATGGCAAAAGAGTTGTCCAATCATCTTGTTGGTAGTTAATGGTACATCTTAAATACTACTCCAAAACTTGATTGACACACTCCGTTTATCCATCAGTTTGAGGATGGAATGTCGAAGATAATTTTATATCTACTTTTAGAATCTTAAAAAGAGTCCCTCAAAATCTTGATACAAATTGAATTCTTCTATCTGATATAATATCCTTGGGTAGTCCATGATAGCGATTGATATTGTAAAAAAAGAGCTTAACTATTTCTGCACCTGTAATAGATTTTGTACATAGTACAAAATGTGCCATCTTAGTAAAACCATCCACTATCATGAATATAGAGTCATAAGAACCTGAGATTAGAAGATCTTTGATGAAATCTATAGAAATAGAAGATCATAGTTGTTTTGGAATGAATAATGGCTGAAGAAGTCTGTAAAGTCGATGACAAGGAGTTTTTGATCTCGAACAAACATCACAAGATTGTACAAAATCTTTAACTCCTTTCCACATTTGTGGCCACCAAAAGTCCCTAGATATTAGTTCCAAAGTTTTATTGTACCCAAAATGTCTTGCTGTTGGAAAGTCATGACGAGTTTGAAGAACACGTAATTGAGCTTCACCTTCTAGAACATATAGGCGTCCCTCAAAATATAGTAAATTCTTCTTGAATTCAAACTTGAAAGTATCATGAGACTTTGAAGGATCACGAATAAGATGATCAGAAGATGTACTTGACTGAACTTATTTAATGAAAGTTGAATCAATAGTTAGTGTTGATTTCATTGCTCGAAGATGAAGATGCTTTGGCTCAAAGAGAATTATTCATTGTTGATCAAAAGGAGCATCTCCTTCCTTTGGTACAAGGTAAGATCGTCTAGAGAGTACATTTGACAAACCTTATTGTTTTCTTGGTCGATAAGTGATCTTGATTTCAAATCTTAACAAAGTTATACTCTAACGGGCTTGGCAACAATTCAAAATACATGCTGACATAAAATCATCAAGATTCTTGTGATCCGTATACACTGTGATTGGGTTATAAGCACCTTCTAGATAATGGCACCATTCTTGAAACGAATCCACGATTGCAAGAAGTTCTTTGACGTAGATCTCGTAGTTGATCTGAGCTGCCAAAATTTTTTTGGAATGAAAAGATATTAGATGAAGTTTATCATATGTTCCCATTTGTGACAATATGGCATCCAAAGAAAAATCTAATGCACCTGTTTCTATAAAAAATGGCTTAGAAAAATCGATGCGATACAAGATTGGTGTAAAAACAAAGGATGTCTTCAAAGCTTCAAATGCTACTTCTGCTTCTTGATTTCATTGAAGTTTTTTCTTTGCAAGTGAAATGTGTAAGTGGAGTTGCAACTTGAGAGAAGTCTTTGATGAAGATCCGATAGTAGTTGGCAAATCCCAAAAAACATTGGATATCTCTTACCATTTTTGGGATCTTCCAATCTATAATAGTTTGAACTTTCTTAGGATCTATCTTAAGTCCGTCATTTGAAATGATGTATCCTAAGAAGTTGACTTGAGTTGTGCGAAATACACACTTTTCTATCTTGGCATAAAGTCCTACATCTTTTAGTTTTTGTAATACTTCGCGAACATGAAGTTCATGTTGTTCTGGATTTTTAGAATAGATTAAGATGTCATCTAGGTAATAGAGAATAAAATAATCTAAAAACTCCCGAAAGACATCATTCATTAGATGTTCAAATACCGCTGGTGCATTTATAAGTCCAAAAGGTATGATGTTGTATTCAAAATGTCCATACCTTGTTCGAAACACAGTCTTCCATTCATCCTCTTCTTTGATGCATACCAATTTGTATACTCCCCGTAGATCTATTGTTGTATAGATCTTAGCTTGATTCAACTGATCAAGAAGTCCAGATATCAAAGGCAGCGGGTAGTTGTTTTTGATAGTGATTTTATTGAGTCCTCGATAATCAACACATATCTGCAATGATCTATCTTTTTTCTTCACAAATAAAATTGGAACTCCTGCTAGAGATTTAGAATGGCATATGAAGTTCTTGGCCAAATTCTCTTCAATATACTCCTTGAGTTTAGCCAACTCATTTTGAAATAAATTGTAGATTGATCCAAATGGCGGTGGTGCTCCTTCTTGAACGTCAATTGAGTAGTCATAGGAATAATGTTCTGGAAGAGTATCCGCATTCTTTTTCTCAAATACATCTTAAAAATCTTGATATTGGCTTGAAATGCTATTTGAAGTCTTTCCACCAATACAAACAGGTGTGGCATAAATGATACAAGGTGATCTTTCTTTTGTAGCATGCAAGAAAGTACTTGCACCTACAAATATAGGTTTAATTATACTAGACTTATGACTTTCTACTTGATTAACTACTCTCTTAGTTATACTTTGAAAAAAGCCAAGAATACAAGAATTCCAATCTATTTTAAGATTATATTTGTCTAGCCATGATAAACCTAAAATGATTGGATTAGAAAGAGATTTAATGATATTAAATATTATAAAGCTACTATAATCATTAGATGCTATTTCTATAGGAAGGATTTCATGAGTAATATCTCTTGAATACAACGGACGACCATCTATGACTTTTACATGAATAAATTTATTTTTCTTTACTAAAAATATGATATGTCTTTTAGCAAATTTTTCATCTAAGAAACATGCTGAGGCTCTTGAATCTAGCAAGGCAAAGGCTTTGAGATGTTTAGGTCCTAAAATAACATTTATCATAAAACATGGAGAGGATTCTCATGAGAGAATAGGACCTTCAGTAGTCATTGTACAAGGTTTCAACCGCTCGGTCTCTATTGTAGCTGGACAAATTCGTTTTCTGACATACTATCTCATTTGATCGCCATTGTCGGATGGCATGATTTGCTACTTAGGAATATATTGGATATCTAGCTATAGATAGTATAGCTTAAACCTTTATATGAATCTTTTCTTAGCTTTCAAAACTCCTTTATTTTGCATTAAACCCAAAATATAACAAAATCCCTTCAAAATATATTCTTTCTACAAAAAGGTTTTTTTTTTCCAAACTTTAGAAATTCATAACTCTTGATCTAACCATTTAGTTTGTCTAAAATTTATAGAATAGGTAGAATTCATCCTTTAATTTTATCACAAAAAAAAACCAACTTCAAATTCACGTCTGATCTTCTAGCATCTAAGAAATCCTAGCAGACACTCTAAACCCTAATTTACAAGCACCTCAGAACTATTTTCTTAATATCTCAAGAAACCAATACTCAAATGTCATCAAACTTATGCATAAAGTTTACTAATATGAATATACATATTTTTTGAAATTTTGAGGCAAATCCTTATCAAATTGCTCAAGATATAGCTCAAGACACAACCAGTAGTAAATCGGGTCACTTACTATCCTTAGATTGCATGCACTGACTTCAAAATCCAATAACTCTTTTACTTCAACTTGAAATCCAGTAAACAATATGTGAAAAGTGTAGCCGCAAAAGTGTTTTCTCTAGTCGCAGTCGTTGAACCTCAATTACTGTCCATATGCATCCGTTATGCCAAAAAGAGTGACAGTAGCTTTCAAATCAATACCTTAACTTTGAGTGCTTGTATCTCCTTCATATAAACTCCAAACCATACAAAATTTGTACCAAAACCATAGCCAAAAATCTAAACTTGCTGACCTTAACCTTCAAAGCTCAAATGGATCCAAGAAACTAACCCTAATATCTAATATGGCCTCAGGCAGCCTCCTCAAAGTCCATTGGTCATGATTTTTGATCAATAGGAATGGAGATTTTCATTATTCATCTCCATTCATCTATATTGGTGCCCTAATTACTCCCTTTGCTACCAAAATCCTTCTTCAATCCTTTTTCTTATAAGATTTACATAATTTATGCTCTAAACACCAAATAAAAGAACCAAAAAAAGTTTTCAAAGGTCACCAATGTCTAACAAAGGTGACTCTAAATATTTAGAAGTTACTATCAATTCAAACCAATCTTAAAAGCCACTATCAAAATGGAAATTAAAGTTATAAAAATTCTATAGTAATCTTTTTAAACAACCTCTTCTCAAGGTAATGATCAAATTATATTCTACAACCAACTAAAATCTACTAACATGGCTCTCACCATATTCGAAATGTTTTGTTCTTTTCTAGTTCGTTGCTTATACCATCTGTCATCCTAGCCTATACTATTTGCTCTCTTTCCTCATAATTTCTTATCTTCTTCTTCTTCTCCCTCTTCTACCTCTTCTTTGTTTCGCATTTTATGATTGGATGACCTTGAAATGGCAGATTCAGCGGCGACTTGTCTCACTGGTTGCGGCCAACAAATACATTCGGCCACCTAGAGGCGGATCTAAGTAAAAAGATAACGCTTGTGAAACCCTCATTCTAATTTGTGGACATGTACAAGGGAAGAGTTCCAGACTCACTCAGAAACTCCTTCTCGAATCACAAACAGGGTAGTCCAGAATTACTTGTCTAAACATCACGTTACATATCAGAGCTAGATTGTAATAACGATTGCACAACCATCCAACTCTCATGGTTTTTACTCCACTGTAGTGTTGGTTGCGCTCACACCCATTGGCGACATTCTAAATCCTGCATAAGCCATTCACCGGTGATTCACAATTGGATTCTTAACTGGGTTTTATACTCGCATCAAAAATCGCTCAAAAAAGACGTAGCTGCCAACTGCCAAAGAACAAGCAGAGACACTTGGATTGAAATGCTTCAGTGACATCACCCCTTGCCACAAACATGAAGACTTGACGTAATGTTGATTCTTCGTTGGACAGTCGAACCTATTCCGAATTCGTTCAAGAAAAAACAGACACAACAGCCAGAGAGAGGAATACAGTGACCGGGCAGGCGAATTCAGAGACATTGTAACTCAACTCGAAAACGACAGATAGCCCAGCCAAGCAGTAATAAACCAAACCGACATCAACTTCCAAAAATCTGCGCCAGGTTCTCGGAACATGGGACTTGATGGCAGTTCACAAAACGTTGCAACTTCCAGTTTCTCTCCAGCTCAACAACAGAAAATAGATATTGTTGCTGTTCTGAAACAAGCAAAAGCTAACAGATTACAACGATACCGAGTGAGTGCCAAGTACAGCGTGAGTTGATCAGCTGCGAAGTGATGTGACCCCCAGGCAGGGAGCCCACACACAACCCACACACGATCTATCGACATATCAATCTGCCTCTGACCTTTGTCTGTAAAGGATCACATGAATCAGGATATGCCGGTGCATCGCTGCATGAAATGGAAGCATCTGAAACACAAGGCAAGGCAAGGCAAGGCAGGCACCAGGTGGGTCTCTTCTTCCAGGCCTCTCTACACATGGGACCCAGTGCTCCAGATTCTTAACTAGGCCATAGTCATGGCTGTGGTTTGGGATTCCTTCAAGCTGCCGTTGCGGTGCCGTTTGCAGCCCAGCTCCATGGACACAGTTCTGCACACAAACAGAAAAGCAAAGAAAAGAAAAACAAACAAACAATCAAACAAAAAGCATTTGTGAGGGTGGTTGAGTGAGTGAGTGAGATCTGAGGCTTGCCTTGTTGGTTGCTCTGCTTTTGTGGAACTGTTTTCATTGCTTTTGTTTGTTGTGAACTCTTGAGCATCATGCCACCACTACTCGTTAAAACTGTTTCCATGGTTGAAGCTTATTGGGTGGAATCGTTGAGTCTTTCATTGTTTTTACAGAAGCTTTACATGTTTGAGATTTGCTACAAAAAATGATTCCAGAGTATTTGTTTTGAAGGTGCTATCCAGGTTCTGCGAATTAAAAAACTTTGTTTCGGTAGATCTTTAATTTGAATTTTTTCATTTGGTGGAGTGCTGTTTGTTTTGTTGAAGTGATGTGGGTGACTGTGTCTCAGTGGTTTCTAATAATCAATTGACGGAAATAATTTTTTGGATTACTAACATTTTGGATGCTATTATTTATTTATTTGAGGTAGGCAAACTTAGTGTACGCCAAGTGGCATATTGATTGTTGATTTAGACACAAATATGTACTGTTTCTTTCAAATATATATATATATATATATATATATATTTTGCATTTTCCAATTTAAAAAATTGCTTAAAATATGCTATCATCAAATGAATTAGAAAATTTTCTACTTAAAATATATAAAATTACAAAACTCTAATACATGATAGAATACATATTTATAATACATAAAGAAGAAAAGATAAATCATTTTAATTTGACTAAAAAAATTGTCAATTTTTTTGTCACTCTGACTGAAGATTGATTACATGAAGTTCAAAATGCATGTTTGATTTTGTGCAACAAAAATTACTATGCAATAGCAAATGATGATTTTATTAAACTATGATCCTATAAAGAATCAGTCGGATCAATTTTTTAAAAAAAAAACTTTTAAGCCACAAGTCCTTATATCTATATATATATATATATATATATGAATAATACACAGATCTATGAGTTATTGCCTGAAATTTGAAGACACTAATTATGCAAATTGGTATAGAAAGAACTTGATTTATAGAATAAATGTGTTCTTAAACCTTATAACATATAATAGTTTTTTGAGCTACAAATTGAAATGACATAAAAACTAATTGGTTTGAAAAAGTGATGGTTTTTGATTTTTTTTTTATAAGGTTTATTGACATTTTAACTCAAACGACAAAAATATATATATATATATATATATATTAGGATTTCCAAATCTGTACAAAATAATCATCAATTACAAGCCAATTGTGCTAGAGGTCAAAATCTATTACCACATCTTAATCTAAGAACTGCGATACAAAATTACTTGTCAAATAACATTCTGTTTTTTTATTTTTATTTTTTATTGTTGTTGTTTTTTGGTTATTCTCTTAAAGCTTTTCGGCTAAATTCTTTTGTTGCTCGTACGTTCGATATTTCTATTCTACACTCAAATTTGTTTGCACAAGTTGGGAATCTACACCAGAGAATCCTTTCTTATCATCGTAGATGAGCTTTGTAATGAAAGAAAGTCCGAATGGTTGAAAACTTGTGGAGAATTCAAATCCACCCATCCATCAATGACTTTCAAACCCCACAAAAAGCACTAAATCCTTGCAACGATGACTTTGTTCGGTATGATGAATCTTGTTCACCAATTTCACCAAAACAAGATTGGAAAGAAAAGGTCGGAAACAAACCCAGTTACAAAGTGAAATGAATAATAAAAAAGAAAAAAGAAATAATAAAAATCAGAAGAAGAAGAAGCTTGTGCTAGTAACGTTGCGCTGGGTGAAGAGTGAGTGAGTGAAGTGAAGTGAAGTGCAGGCTCGCTCGCGGCAATGGCTACGGACGCAGCGGCGTCGAGAGGGCCGTGACGTGAGCACCCTCAAAGTAACGTAGCACATGGAGCCAGAGCGCAGTGGATTTGAGCTGGTGAATCAGGATTGTCTCGGGATTGAGCTCGTGCGAGCATCGATCGCGCCCCTTGTACGCAGGGTGATCGTAGAACATGGGCTTCATATTCACGCGATTCAATGCTTTGTTGCCGGCATCCAGCCAATCTCCCGTCATGCGATCCTCGGAGTACCCGCCGATCCGCTTGCGCACAATGGGTGACTCATGAATCCATTGCACTAGGTCCCAACTGAGAATGTACCCCATTCCTGCGATGTAATTCATGTACGCGTTCTGATTCTCGCAGGGGAGAACGTATCCATAGTAGAGATCGACTCTGGGTTGCTCCGCGAGAGACGCCGCGAGGTTGTGGATGCGCACGTATGAGTCGTCGTCCACTTTCATCACGTAGTCGAAGTGGACGCCCATGATCGCCACCGTGGAGAAGTATTTCCACGTCTTGCCCTTGTTCATGTTCTCCTCCATGTCCAAGATCAGCAGGTCCCCGTAGTGGAGGGACTCCAAACCCAGCTGCAATCGCTCCTCTTCACCCTTCGGTGTCCCTATGACGAATCTAATAGACACGTTCGCGATATTGGTGTGCTGGATCCCGTAGGCAAGCCTGATAATGTTCCGTCTCTCAACCTTTGAAGCTGTACTAAACACGCCTATAAAGATGGAGAAGTTCTGAAACTCGGGTCCATGGGGAGTTGGAGTGGCGATGCCTTTCATCAGTGCCCTAAGCTCTGTCTCTCGCTCCTGGATCATCCAAGCCCGAGTTTGTGCCGAAGTCGTCACGGAGTCGCAGACATCGTACTCTACCAAGCTGCGCAACAATGGTGGAAGGAAAGCAACCACAAGCAGCAGAGTTACAAGAGTTGCTACGATTCCTACTAAACCCAGCTTCAAGCTCTTGGTCGACTTCATACTGAACATCGAGGGCACTTAAGACTTCATCCTCACAAAACTCTTTCCAAATTCCTCTCTGAACAGTCAAAATTTCATATCACTGCCCAACCTCAACAAGATGCCCCAAAATCAGCTCAACTGATAACGCATCCGCTCAGCTCGGCCTCAAATTGCAGTTTCAGGTGGCCACAATCCCCAGCCGTGGGCATCAGCAGGCTCACAGGCGCATGTCAGTAGTGGGTGACCAGAAGTGGCTGACAGAACAACAAAATGAATGAACAAAACAAAAGGAGCTTTCTGCCTTACTACGAGACTGCTGATGCAGTCTTTACTACATGAGTCAAAGATCTGATTATTCGGCACAAATGTCGGATCTCACATCATCCATACAAACTTCATTCATTGATGAAGTAGGGATGAATGTTCCAACACTCCCCTTCACTACAAAATCATCAATTTTAATACTTACTAAGAAACTACTTATACTCTTTGACTCTAGTTTGTGAAGAAATTTATTTTAGATGTCTAAGGTTCATCTCAAGGGTTTGTTATGTAGAGGCAGTGGGTGAGAGAGGAGAAAGTCATGATCTGTTTTCTACTAAGTTGGATGTGCTAATTTATGCCAATAACTATAAGCTATGAAGAGAGAAGATGAGAAAGGGAGTAGTTTTGTTAAGGTTGTGCTTCTCTTGTAGAAATGATATTCAATCTTAATCTAAATTTCTCAAATAGACCACGCCCCAAGGATTTGGTGAAGATATCAATTATTTGTTCAAGAGATGGTACATAAATTAATTTAATCTCTCTCATTTTTATTTTTTCTCTTCTAAAATGATGATATGTAGCTATACGCTTTGTTCTTTGATTGATATCTGAATTTTTTGCCATTTTGTTAATCTCTCTATTGTCACAATATATTAGAATTGATTTTCTAATTTGAAGTACAAAATCACATGCAAGTTTGTTCAACCATGCTGCTTCTCTAGATGTTGTAGACAAGCCTATATATTCTGCTTCAATGGCTTATTTCTTTGAAAGCCAAATAATTAGATTGGCTCGTAATTTAAAAATAAAATCCATTGTTGATCGACCATCAGTTAGGTCTCTTGCTCAATCTGTATCCACATAGCTCCATGGCATTATTGGTGAATTTGTATGGTAGAGTATTTGATAATCCAATGTTCTTGCAATATACGTTAAAATTCTTTTTATTGTTGTCAAATATGGTATTTGTGGTTTCATCATGAAATGACTAAGAATTCCAATAAATTATGAAATATTGGATCAAGGCTGACCTAATTGTATAAGTTTACAAACTATAGATCAATAATAAACTATATCAACAATGTCTTCATTCATAACCAAGAAGAAAGAAAAGGAGCCTCAAAGTGAATATTCAGCACTCAACTCACGTTAAGGCAAGGGAAATTATTAAAATCAATGAGGAAATGTCAAATCTTGCTTCATTTGTGGCAAAGTAGGCCATTTTGCTCGAAATTGCTACAAAGGTAAAAAGATGAAGAAGAAGAATATAAATAGTGTGTAAGATGAGTTTGGAGGACAAGATTATGCATTCACGGTAATAAATAGGACCTCTATGGCTACCATGTCAAGATGGATTGTGGATTTAGGTTATTCTAAGCATCTGATACCTTATAAGTGTTCATTTGACACTTATGAGGCTATTCCAGCATCAAACGTAGTGTTGGCAGATAGTGGTATATGTGAAGCCATTGGAATTGGCTCTATTATGGTGGAGGTGTTTGTGAATGGACAAACCAATAGAATCAGACTCAAAAACGTCCTTCATGAGCCTAAGATGAAGCAAAACCTATTTTTGGTGAGTAAACTTGTAATAGAAGGTTTTAAAGTTTAATTTGATAAGAATGGATGTTTTGTAAGAACATTGAGTGGAGACAAGGTCTTCAAAGGCTTAAAAGAAGGAAATTTATAGTATCTCATTTGTAAGAAGGTGAATGAAGTGGAGGTAGCCGTATTTACTGAGTTTACATCAAACCAAGACAAGTTGAATATATGGCATCGTTGCCTTGGCCATTTAAATGTGAAGAGCATGAGAGAGCTCAAGACCATGGTTACTAGCTTAGATCTTGGTAATACAAGCCATAATGCAAAACAACTTACATGTGAAGGATGCATACAAGGCAAACAACAAAGGGCCTCATTTCCAAAGAATGTAGCAATACGTTGTCATATTACGTGCTTTCCTACTCGAGAACGCGCCGGGCGTCTGGCTGTAGAAGGTACTATGGAGATTCGCCGATAGTCAAGCAGTCTATCAGTTTTTGACTGCTGAAATATAAACGACTCCAACAATGTATCGTAAATCTATATGGGTGCTCTTCAACTGCTTGTCGAAGTCCTTTTTTGCCCCAGCCAATAGGTCTCTAGACGTTACAGAGAACCCCGAACAACCCAAACTGTTAATCTTCAATACCGCTTTGTACTTACGATCTTATATCCACTGACTGTCTTGTTAGATTAACCCAATAAATTTCATTCACTCCGCATACTCAATCCTATAGACACCCTTTTAATCCTTCAATCACAGATGTAACTCGATTTCACAAAACAGTCAAGAGTATTCAAACCCACTTCATTAAAAATCCCAATTCACCATTACAATACTGACTTCAGCAGCGATTGCCTCAGTCTTCCCAAAACTCTACAAAGAAGAAAAATCCAAATTCTTTGTCTTTCCTTCCCCGACCCGAAGCATGAAGCTCCTCTCTCTAATCCCCTTGATCTCCAAAAACCTCCAATGAAAACCGAACTAGTAACCTTGCAAAAGCTTTCTGCCTGCTCCCTCGATTCCCCTTCAAACTTATTCTCCCCCTAACCTTATCCTCTTGAATTCCTTCAATCTTTCGTCTTGGATCCGAAATTGGCTCCCGCCGTCAGAGCTTAGATCCGAAATTGGCTCACGTCATCAAGGCCTTCTCCTCCGTTTTTACCTTTAAGAGATCCATTTACCGCAAACAACGTTCCCTGAAACGGCACAAAGAACACGACAGCCTGAAACAAAATCGAAACCCCGTACTCGGGTCTACATTGAGTCGCCCGACCAATTCAGGTCCCATATTGAAAAAGATGCCCGTAGTAACCTGGATGTTCACATAATTGGATCAAATTAGTCCTCACGTTGTCGTATTACGTGCTTTCCTACTCGAGAATGCGCTGGGTGTCTGGCTATAGAAGGTAGTATGGAGATTCACCGATAGTCAAACAGTCTATCAGTTTTGACTGCTGAAATATAAACGACTACAACAATGTACGGTAAATCTATACGGATGCTCTTCGACTGCTTGTCGAAGTCCTTTTTGCCCCAGCCGGTAGGTCTCTAGACGTTACAGAGAACCCCGAACAACCCAAACTGTTAATCTTCAATGCCGCTTTGTACTTACGATCTTATATCCACTGACTATCTTGTTAGATTAATCCAATAAATTTCATTCACTCCGCATACTCAATCCTATAGACACCCTTTTAATCCTTCAATCACAGACGTAACTCGATTTCACAAAACAGTCAAGAGTATTCAAACCCACTTCATTAAAAATCCTGATTCACCATTATAATATTGACTTCAGCAACGATTGCCTCAATCTTCCCAAAACTCTATGAAGAAGAAAAATCTAAATTCTTTGTCTTTCCTTCCCCGACCCGAAGCATGAAGCTCCTCTCTCTAATCCCTCCTTTCAAAACTATCCAATGAAAACCGAACTAGTAACCTTGCAAAAGCTTGAAAACTAGCTTCCCCCGATTCCCAAAGAAAAAAAAAAACCCCCCTTCAAACTTATTCTTCTCCTAACCTTATCCTCTGAATTTCTTCAATCTTCCGTCTTAGATCCGGAATTGGCTCCCACCGTCAAGCTTGGATTCGAAATTGGCTCTTGCCGTCAGAGCTTTCTCCTCCATTTTTACCTTTAAGAAATCCATTTACCGAAAACAATGTTCCTTGAAACGGCACAGAGAACAGGACAGCCTGAAACAGAATCGAACCCCATAATCGGGACCACATTGAGTCGCCCGACCAATTCAGGTCCTATATTGGGTAAGATGCCCGTAATAACCTGGATGTTCCGTAATTGGGTCTGCATTGGGTTGTCCGGCCAATTCAGGTCTCATATTGGGTAAGAGGACCCGGATTGGATTCTCGAAATTGGATCCAATTGGCTCTTCGAACCCGTCGTGTGAATTGGTCCTTCTCTTCCTGCTGACTCCCGTTATTGGAATTGAATGGAGCATTTCAGTATGCCCCGAATGACTGTAACGGGGTGACTGAACCTGGCCACTCAGTATTTGTACAGGAGTTGGTCGATGCTCCCAATATTCGAGGTAACTGAATATTAATAAAATTCCCCTTTCTTTTTATTTTCACTGTATACTCGTATTACAACACGACATCCACCCCCTCTGAACCTGTGCATCCTCCGGTATGCACCAATTTACCCAATTGCTGTTTGATTCAGAAAATATATCCTCTACGTCTTTGTCCAGTTCGTCTTCGTCACCTTCATTATCCAAATCACTTTCATCTTCTTGCTGCGGAATCTCTATACCTTCATTAAGGTCTTCCATATTCATCTCTGCGTGTCTTCGTTTAAATATTTTTACTCGCTTCCCTGCAATTGGTATTTTCAATTTTGTACCATCTAACTCCCGTAATGAGTAAGTCACATTATCATGAACAGTTCTTACCACATATGGTCCAAATCAACGTTTTGAGAATTTTCGCAAAGTACTATGTTGATTATCCAGACTATTGTCATAAACAAGTACCCAGTCACCTTCCTCGATTGCTTTTGGTGTCAATCGATGTTGCTTATCGAATCGCGCCTTGTTTTGTAACCTTGCTCTTTTTAACCTTTCCAATGCTATCAAGACATCTTCCGTTCTTTGCTCCAATTGTCGAATCCTAATAGCCAGAAGTTCTTCTCTTGTCAATCCATCTTCCTATAGTAGCATACTCCAAGTAAGTACCTTTTCTTCAATCGGCATAATTGATTTTTGACCTGTCATAAGTTCTACTGGCATATATCCTGTCACCGAACTATGTGTTGTTCGATTAGCCCATAATGCAAATGACAATAGCCGTGGCCACTCTTTAACTTTCCCATTACAAGCTTTAACCAATGCTTTCACAATCGGCGGGTGACCGCGTTTGCTTTTTGCATTCCCTTCCAGATTATAAGCAGTAGTCAGTGATAGTTTAACTCCACATCTTTCAAAGAACTTACGAGCTTCTTGTGCATTTAATTCTCCACGATCTGCAGTGATTTTTCCTACGCAC